GAAAGTAAAAATAGAAGACACTATGATTGCTGTAGAGGATGAATTCAAAGAAATCACAGAAAAAGCCTGTGAACATCTGATTGAGGATCACCTTGGAAAACTACAGTCTAGTGTAATACATGTTATAAAAAACAGCAAGTCTTTCCAACAAAACATGACCAAGCGAGTCATGGTGGGACTTAAGAAGAGTGGAATGACATTGAAGTAAAATATAAGGACAGTTAATTTCGGAGAAGGAGAGCAGCTGAACAGGCAGTTGTTGAAGCATGAGTAACGCGTATACCGTTTTACAAATTATGGGGGCGTGTGTAATGTAAGAGTACTGAACTGAAGTAGGTGCGTAAAAGACTTGCAGGATTTATGCAGTAGATTTAGAACAACGCTGAGGTTGTTGAAGTGCACGTAACATTGCATCCATCATGGGGGCGTGTTGAAATACAGCGCATTACTGCTGTAGGATGTGTGTAGTAGAATAGATGCAGCTGTATTATTGCTGTATGCAATGATACGTACATGCGGTGTGATATGTGACGTTTGGTAAAACGTAACATGTGTGACGAGTTCTAGCGAGGAGCTCACGAGTGAATTGATGGTTGATCAGAGGATTGTAATTGTAGCGAGATCACGAGGTGTTGCGAGCCCCACCGGGCTCACTCCCCAACTATCCCTCACCATCTCACCTCTGCAACTGAGCTAGGCTCCGGTGCCACCGGCAGGCAATAATGAAAGTCTCATTGAGGCAACAATGATACCAACTTCAGTCTCGACGACTACACGCAGGCTTAACCGCCTGCAGACACGACCCTTGGGTACAGGGCACCTCGACACGACACATTTCTACAGAAAGCGTTTTCTTTCTCGAGTTTCGTTGGTATGATTCTATCATGCAGGGTCTTGTCTTCCTGCGAATCGTTGGATCTCCAACGTGGTCCAATGACCGCGGTCGCAATGAGGTCTCGTTTGGTTGCAAGCGCTCCTTGCGCGATCATCCAATCTCTTGCTTGTGATTTCTCCTTGCGACTCTTCACGCTTGACCTTTTTTCGGAGGGCCATCCTCGTTAATTGCACCGTGAACCACGGTAATGCGGCGAGTCTATACCGTACCATGACAGAGTTGCCCATGAACAATATTCAGTGTGAAAATATGCTATAAGAACCGATATATCAGTGGGTAATGAATGGCGCACACCTTTGGTGTATTCACGGTGTGTATACGACCGTAGTTCCACGGTATGTATACGACGGTTTATTTTGTTTTCTTTCGAATTGCTTCATTATTTCTTCGGTTTCTAGGCTACGTGTTGGGGAGAGAGACGCACTTTACGCTCATCGTCTCTCCGGCCGCGTTAGCTGCAAAGGCCGGCGTCAACTCTTACAAATCCATCTCTCTCCCCACAAATACTAGCCGGGGGACTACGACTGCAAACGCAGGAGTCCCAAAACTGACCAAGTCCTCAAATGGTACACACCATTCTACAACACCTGACTAGATACCGAATATTCCCGAACTTATGCCCCCACCTTCGAAAGAAAAGGGATGGGAGGGCGGGATTTTCTAAACTGCCGCCGCTACTGCGTTAGGCGGCTGCTGCTGTCCTTCCGTTGCTTCACGCGCTCTGTAGCTGTCACACGTTACCCGACTTTGCTACAGCCCCTGCGTGGACTCGATCACGGAATGACACCCCCAACTATAGACTAATAATTCCAAACACCGTGACCCTGGGTTTCCGGTAGAAAATGAAGCCAAATTCTAATTCGACTGTTACAAAATAAACACCAGTTTATTCTATCTGCTTCGACGAACAAACCTTCCTTTTATTTTGTTTTCTTTCGAATTGCTTCATTATTTCTTCGGTTTCTAGGCTACGTGTTGGGGAGAGAGACGCACGAAACGCTCATCGTCTCTCCGGCCGCGTTAGCTGCAAAGGCCGGCGTCAACTCTTACAAATCCATCTCTCTCCCCACAAATACTAGCCGGGGGACTACGACTGCAAACGCAGGAGTCCCAAAACTGACCAAGTCCTCAAATGGTACACACCATTCTACAACACCCACATCGAGGTCAGTTTCTGGACGACTACCGAATAAGTCAACTATCCGTTCCCCCAGACGGTCCCCTCCCCCGGCTGTCTCGATACGATCCTACTGCCGTCTGTAAGTTTCCGTGACACTCGCCGCGAATCCTCTACATTGTTTCGCGCGTACGGCTTGTATGCATCCGACCTCCACTTCCCTTCTCTCTGAATCACTCGTTCTGCGATGTCTCCGCCCGATGCAAGAGCCGTCGCGCCTCCAATTCGCAACGAGTGCAACGCGTACTCCTGGGGGTTACGCCCCGACCTCGCTACCACTTCTCTGAGTGCACGGAGGGCAGCAGTATACCTCACTACTCTCACTGCTCTTCCACTACGGTACGAAGCCAACGGTGCGGAGTCAGGGAACGTCGCATGACACGATAACAGCTCCACCACAAGAGCCACCGCGCCACCGCGTGCTCTCACACCTGACTGCGGTCCGGTGACTTCGTCTCGCGTACGAACCCGTATGTTTCCTTTCTGCTCTTGATCGGCCTTGTGCCCTCTAAACCTCATTTCGACACGGTCTGCTCTACGATAGTGACTAAAGACTAATTGCGTCTCGCCAGCAAACAATGCTACGTCCGCCCTCGTAAGACAGTGTGCCTCATGCACCCTGCCCGCATCATTTCGCGAACACCTCATCAGACCGTGTGATAAAGAGATAGGACAAGCACAGACACAGCCACATCACTCTGCCCCCTTCCCCCCAGTTCTGGCTTGCGCTTTCCCCGTCCAGCAGCATACGCCAAGACACAGGCAGGCGCACACGGCGTACCGTCCCCACAGCCACGTGGTTCCTCGCAATCCCCCTTAGCGCACATTTCAACATCGGAGACGACAAGTCTAGCTCGACAGAAGCTTCCAGCCTATGAAAATGTTGTACAGCCGTGAGTTTTCCGGATATTGTACTCGCTAGATTACCCTCAGACTCGAAACACCAGGCTACGAAGTCTATCAACTCCCACACATGAAGGTCCCCGGCACGTTGCCCTAGGAACTTGGGCTTCTCCGTCAGCCTGCGAAACGTGCACCAAGAAGTTGAAGCCTGACGTGTAAGTCCTTCTAGACGAAGACGCAACTGAGTGCTCGACGAGCTGCATGCCAAGACGTCGGTAACAAAGTCCCGTCCTGCCTGTCCCAGGTCCTGAACCTGCTGATAGCCCTGGAGCCAACCTCGTGTAGACCGGCGTGCTGCCGTTCGATTTAGCCGCAGGTGCGCTGCCATCCGAGGTAGGCCCCCCCGCTACGCGGGAGAGCCCGCACCCCTATTTGTCTTTCCCGTGGGTGAAGAAGCCAGCGGCCTTGGGTCTCGCGCCGCCCTCGCCAGCGGCGCGCGCCTCTCCTCCGCGCCCTCCCCCGTTGCCGTGGCCAACGCCGCGCGCGCCGGTTGCCGGAGTTTCGGACGCTCCGCGCCTAGCGTGGGAAGGGTTCTGGGCGTGGATGTGTGGGCAGTTACGATCATGGCAACCGGACGACGAGTTGAAGGCGAAGCAGTAACCACGAGCGTGTCGAGCGATGCCGCCACTTTCTCTGTCACCAGGACGCCTTTGCGAAGCAAGGATTGCCACTCCATCTGCGACAGTTTTGAAACTGCCGGGGGCCGCCCCAGGATG